AGCCACAAAGAAGGATAATTCATAGACACTGACTTCATCAGACTTGTCCAACCATGTAACTCCTTGGAGAACCACCCTAATAATCCAACACATGGTTGACCAAAACACTCCATGATGAACCACATATAGCAGTTGTCTTCTTCCCAATAGTGATCAACCATTCTCCCTTAGAGGAATCAACTCCCAGACCATGATCACTTACCTGAAATCTTCTCTCCCTCAAGAGAAAAACCCAAGACACAAAGCAATCAAGTGTATCAACACAATATGAACTACTCAGGTTCTCACATCAGGAAATATGTCATAACATTTTGTAGGACATCATGCACACACACATACCACCATCAACAATAGCAGTAAAAGCACACTATAACGATGGGAACAAAACAATCTTGATCATCTTCAGGTGGTCTTCCACCTCTTGCCCCTATCAAATAACCTCCTACACTCCTTGAATTTGTCACAAGTTTTAGGAGTGTTACCATTGACCTCCCTTGTTATTACCTCGTAAAAATCCTTCAAATCAGCACTTTGTAGAGATCTTTTGTTCCATCCTTTGACAATTTAAACCATGGCGACATGGAAGAAAGATAGAGAATATGTCGTATTCCTCACCATCTGTAATTGCTATAACTCCTTAAAGACTTCAAATCCATTTTATTTTTTCTTTAATGAAGTTCATCCAGGAAAATTTTGAAAAATCCTTAGCAACCACACCAACACATCTCTTTCTACCATTATTGCCAACCTGCACATGTTCCATTAACTCCATATGAAGAGTTTCTAACCCCTTGGAAGCAATTTGATGATGCAATTTTGGAAGTGACATCTTGGTTTGCTTCCTTATTTGACATTCACCACGGGTTTTGCATTTTTCAACTTTCAGCTTGGGAATACTTCTGAGTTCTTCCTTTGACAAGACTTTTTTCATACCTTTCAGGTGTAAATGGTCAGGTTTGTCCTGCCATAGCTTCACTTCAAGTTCTTTTGACTTCAAGCATGTGAATGAGCAATTTGTTTCTTGAGGAATCCATAAATAACAATTACCTTTTGATCTAGCTCCCTTCATGATAACTTCATTCTTCTCACTTATTACTAGACAATCAGATTTATTAAAGTTAACTTTGAGACCTTGGTCACATAGTTGACTAATACTTATTTGATTGGCAGTTAGACCCTTAACAAATAGCACATCATCATGAATAGGTTGTCATGTATAGTTCAGTTGTCCAACACTATTTATTTCTCCTTTTGCTCCATCTCCAAAAGTGACATAGTTAGTGGAATGTGATTTAATATCCACCAAAAATTTATTGACACCAGCCAGGCGTCTAGAACAAAATAGTATCAAAATACAAATCCTCTCTTGTAGACCCTCTGAGAGATGAGTGAACTATGAGTCCACAAGTGACATTTTTGGGAATCATCTTAGATTTTGCTCTAGCATCATCGTGTTTTCTTCTGTGATGTGTAACAGGTTTGGGATAGCCATACAGCCTGTAGAAAAATGATATTATATGGCCAAACCTTCCACAATAATAACATATATGTCGTTGAGTCTTGTTTCCTGAGTGATTTTTCTATTGTCCGTGATGATGTTGAAACATTTTATTTGACATCTTTTGTTCTAATTCTTTCTTTGGACGAACAAACTTCATTTCAACCTATTTGCCTTTGTTCTTCATAGCTTGATTGTCATAGCCAATCCCTTTAACATTTCTAGCATTCTTCCCAGACCGAAGAATCTCATCAAACACACCAAAATTGTTGTTAAGCATTCTTATATACTTGGTCATATTATTAAGTTGTGAATTGAGAAAGAGAACTTCACCCTTCAGACCAGAGATAGTGGACAGGTGTTCCACTTTTTCATCCTCCGGAACATAGAAGATATATAGGTGTTCCACTTTTTCAGCCTCTAGTTGAGCAATAATTTTCTTTTGCTTTTCTTCTAATTTGTCCACCTCTTGACTTCTGAGGTGCAACTCCTTGTAAGAAGCAGCAAGCTATTCAAAGGTAAGTCCTTCACAATCTGAGTCTTCATCAGAGTTACAAATTCCTGTCAAGGTTGTGACTTGTTTGGCACCTTTTTCTTAAGGATCACTTTCAGAATCTTTCTCTGACCATGACACACGCAACCCTTTCTTCTGTTTCTAGAGATAAGTGGGACACTCAGCTCGTATGTGTCCAAATCCTTCACATTCATGACATTGAACTCTTCTCTCTTGGTTGGAATTGTCATCCGTTTTGGCCCTTCTATCAAAGTCTTGGTTTTTGTTGATGTCGAATGATTTATTCTTGACATTTGACCTTGACTTCCAGTTTATTCTCTTCATTACTTTGTTGAAATTGTCTTCCAAGAAGCACAATAGCATTTGATATCCCTTCTTTTGTATCCACGTCACATTCATCTTTTAGGTCATCAGTATTAAAGACAAAGAAAATGCTATTCTTCTTTTTAGATTTTTCACTGATTCATAACTCAAAAGTCTGTAGAGATCCCATAAGCTCATCAACCTTCATGTTGTTTATATCTTGGGCTTCCTCAATGGAAGTCACCTTCATGTCAAACCTCTTCAGAAGAGATATGATAATCTTTCTCACCAACTTGGCTTCTAACATCTTCTCCCCCAAAGCACTTGAGGCATTGACTATCTCAACAATATTCATGTGAAAGTCATAAATACTCTCATCCTCATTCATTCTTAAGTTCTGAAACTGGGTGGTAAGAATTTGGAGCCTTGATGTCTTCACCTTAGAGGTTCCTTCATGCGAAGTCTTAAAAATATCCCAAGCTTCTTTAGTAGCAGTACAATTCCTTATTAGTCTAAAGATGTTTTTGTCCATTTCATTGAATAGGGCATTCAATGATTTGGAGTTTCCCTCTGCTATCTTGTAATCTCCATCATCCCAGTCTTCCTCAACCTTCAGCACATCAGTAGTCTTCCCATCTTTATCTCTAGCCATTGGTAGATCCCATCCTTTGACAAGAGATTTTCAGGCCTTGATGTCCATGGATTTAATAAAAGCCACCATACGAGCTTTCCAACAGTCATAATTAGTTCCATCAAGAATGGGTGGTTTGTTCAAAAATACTCCTTTCTTATCCATTGTACCATAAAGTATCTTCCCTGAATCTCACCCAGAGTCAGAACAGGATGTCTGCTCTGATACCAATTGAAATTCTGGTTTTCAAATCACATATGTCCTAAGAGATGTCGAGATACCGATCTCTGAACAATAACATAATGAACAATTTAAAACAATGGAAAAAATAAACAACATACAAAATTGTTAACTCAGTTCGGTGTACAACACCTACTATGGGGGCTACCAAACCAGAGACAAAGTCAACTAGATAATATCAATTTATAGACCAACATCAAACTCTCACCTAGTTTAAAATCTACTCACTTAATCACTACCCATGCTTAACTTCAACCTAAGACTCACCTAGGTATGACACCCTTCTCAAATCTCTTCTAGTCACAAACAGTGACAAGAACACAATTCAACAGAATTAGAAGACAAACTTTAAAAAAAAACACAATCACTCAATAATTAGAAGCTTGGAGTGATTGACAATACTTACAACTAAATAGAGACAGTACAACTCAGGTATCAAAACAATGCAAGAGTGGCTCGCAATTCACAAGAACAAAAGCCCTAAAACTCAAAAAAAAAAAGTTACAATCTTTTCCACACCTAAAATTAAGTTTGTAGCAATCTATTTAAAGCAATCTACTGGACTGGATTGAGCTTCACAAACGCAGCAAATCAGCTGCTACAAATCAGCAAAAACTTTTGCACAAAAATAAGACTTTAATCATTAGTTTCCTAAATTATCTCCATAATTAGAAACTAACAAAACTCCTGGAATTAAGCTTGAATCTCTTAATCCTTAAACTGGGCTTCACATAGGATATCATTATGTTCTCAGAATATTTTACATCGGTAAAATCTAAAAGAATCCAACAAACAAGTTGTACACGGGCGCGATGTCCAATGATTCTACATATGACATCTTATTCAACATGTTTCTCCAATTGATAGAACATCTTCTTTCAACATGATAGAACATCTTTTACCAAACATAATGTCAACCACAAAAATAGAGAATTGATAGTCCCAGCAAAAATTCTACAACAGACTCCCTACCAACCACAACAAACTAAAAGGACAACAATACACACCCAATGAATAGATAGACTACATATCTAATCCACATCTATGCCGATTTTGAATCAATAAAACCGCTAAATCTGGCTCTCACCAGGACCAAATCGCATGATCTAACACCCAAGGGATAAAAAAGCGCAAGTTGATGCTTCTAATTCACAACCACAACCAAAAGGCATGTTAGGTGCACCAAGACTAAAACGACTAAATGTATATATCTAATATAAATTCAGAGAGAATAGAAGAGAGCGTCTAACACCATTCTTTAATGATTCTTTCATTTATTCTGCTTCACCATTAATGCTGATAAAATACATCCAGTATCAACATTGTGAAGCAATTTGATGTACTTTTCCCTTAACATTTGATACTCCTTTATGTAGTCAGATTGCAGCTGCAATATATGATAACAAAGAATCACAATATACAAAACACAATATTAAAAGAGGATTGAACAATTGCTATTTTATTTCTCATAAAATTATTCTGATCAGAAGCTTTCCAATAAAGGTGTAACCATGAGAATAAGAATGGCTTAGATATAAAACATATGCCAGTATGGTGGATCAACACTGATTTCCTCCTCCATCTTGATCAGCATATGGTGAACGAAACAGAACTAAATTCCAGATACTTTCCACTGTTGAGATAATTCCACACGGATATTACAAGTAGTATACAACAAGCATACTTATTAAAAGGATTTTGTAGATTTCCTAAAATCTTCAAAAAGAATAAAAATAAAAATGAGAGACTTTGAACAGAGTTTAGATGCCAGTAAAATTAAGTTGACAAAGTAATGATCTTCAAAAGATTACCTTTCAAAGATCATCCTTAGGTTGTTCTACTTCTTGATGAGCATGAGCTTTTGGCTGCTCTACTTCTTGCTGAGCAGCACCAATTGTATCCTTGTTCTTTTGAATGAATTCTATGATGTCTTCCTTTGTCCTACCACCGTCATACTGCAAAGATGGGGAACCGACAAAGTCTACCATTTATTCTCAATAAATGTAAGAATAGAGTTTAGCACGATCAAATGACTTGGAATAATGTTAAAAAGATGTTGCAGTTCGCCATAAGTAGCAGCAACAACAACTTTTTCAGGTGTAGTCGACTTATTTTCTGCAGAATCTGTGGGGTGGCAGCAGTTGGTATTTTACCGTAAAGATGGATCTTGCAGTTCACCATAAAGATCAAGAAAGACAAATCACAAATCAATTATTAGTTATTATATACAAGATTATCTAAAACATCTCGGAAATAAGGTCTAATCTAATAACTAACATCAACATTTCATAAACTAACATAAAAAAACCAAGTAGAAAACATTTTTAGTAGTAGTCAAGATAAACCTAAATTAAATAACATCATGCAGACAGTAGCAGCTTCATTATAGTTGGCATGTGTTTGCTTTTCCTTCCTTATGTTAGTTAGCAAATTTCCTTTTGACCATTCCTGCAATTATAATAGGAACATTGACATATTTAAGGGGATGAGTGTTCCATGATCGGTAAACAACATAAACTGTAATTGCTAGCTGTTAGAGTAGCTTCAGCGTATGTCGTGGCCATAGTTGGTTGTCCTAAAGGGATATGTAGTGATTTTATCATAACCACCAAGTTATCTTACCCTTGAATAGAAGTATGGAGGTGAAAATTGATCAATGTGTGTATGCTTGAAATCATAATACCATCCTCCCCCCATATATAGAGTCACCTAATAATATGCTCCACTAAACAGCCCAATCAGAACTCATCAATTCCATTCAACAAAAGCAAATGAAGCATAAAAAATTTATAGATATAAGGAGATATCGAGACGAAAAACTTATCGATGTAAAGTGGTTGACATCGCGATGAAATGTAATGTTACTCTGTATTCAACTCACTTTAAACAAAATGAAATGTTACAAAATAATTTAATTAACAGGCATAACTCGCAGCTTATTCAAATGACAAATGAATGGCTATATAAAAGCTTGAAAAAGTATTTCTGGGAAAAAATGAGGAATTACACAAAAGTCGTAACAAACAGGTTCAAAATAGCGAGTGAGGGTAAGAGAACATACTAATAGTACAAGATACAACTTTGTTTCCCGCAACCCTTCCAATTCGACACTACGACCTTCCATGTTTGTTGTGTATGGAAATTTGAGACAAGAAGAAAAAGATAAACACCATTCAATAATTATTCATCTTTTGATTTAAAAAAAGACGAAATTACAACAACAAAATCACTTAAGGCCATACCTTGTTAGCTTCAAAACTCAGCGGTAAAACTCAGTCCAGTCTTAACCTCATGAATCTACCAACTTGGGCTGTTATGAATATCAATTAACAGGAACCATACCTGAAGAAATAGGAAATGCTTGCTTATATCCTAAAAAACAAACCACAAAATCATCAAATCAACAACAAAAGTCCTAACTAAAAAATCAAAACGCTAACTTTCTAACTGATTCGCACAGTTTGAAACCCTAAAATCTCAATAAAACAGATTCGTGCATCGTAAATCGATTCGGACACCATTATCGTTTCAGATAATAAAAGAGAAAGAAGGAAGAAGAAGAGAAAAAGGAACAGGTAGATGGAAGAAAGAGAGCAGAAGAAAGAGGAGAGAGAGAGAGAGAAAGAGAGGATGTTGTAGAATTTTTGAATTAAAGTTAACATTGGAAGAAGAGAAACGTAACATATGAAGGAAAACATATGAGGTTGATTCCAACCAAGTAGTTTGTCCTTAATTATTCGGTTCAAATGTTACATACAATAGTGGTATGAAAAGACTATATTTTACCCAAAAGCCCTTACGTGTAATCAGTAGGAAAAGGGGTAGATATGTTATTTCCAGAGCCTGAAATTTTCCTATATGATAGATTAATAGTAAAAAAAACTCAAAAAAATAATCACAATAAACTAAAAACTAATCTTCAAGGATAAGTCTATTGTTTTGACAGCAATTTATGTTTGTGAGAGACATCATCAAAAAATTTAAATGTATTCACAGAGTATATTCAAGAGCTAGCATCGAGGTGCATGTTTTTTATAGATGATATAGTCCTACTTTGAGAGTTGATAAAGAATTTAAATGAGAGGGTGGAGGCTTGGAGAGAAACTTTAGAAATGCATGGTTTTCGTCTAAGCAGAAGTAAGATGAAGTATATATAATGTAAGTTTGACAAAAAAAGAAGTGTTTCTAACCTAGAGGTGAAAGATGGAGATCATATCACCCTTCAAGTCACATGGTTTAAATATCTTGGGTTCGTAATACAAAATAATGAAGAAATAAAAGATGGTGTAAACCATCAAATTCAAACGGTGTGACTGAAATAGAGGAGGGCTTCAGGTGTTCTATATGACGCAAAGGTACCACTCAAGCTGAAGAGATAATTTTATCAAACTATGGTAAAACCTGCGAGATTGTATGAGATACAATATTGGGTGCTTAAGAATAAACGCGAGAATAAAGTAAGTGTAACAGAGATGAGGATGTTGCATTGGATGTATGGTAAGACTCGAAAGGATAGGATTATAAATAATAATATTAGAAAGAATGTTGGGCTAACACCTATAATAGAGAATATGGTGGAAAATAGACTTAGATTGTTTAAGCATTTAGAGAGATTACTGGAAGATTTTGTGGTAATGAGAGTAGACGGATGGAGAGAAGTCAAACAACTAGAGGAAAATGAAGACCTAAAAATACTATAAGAGAAGTTATTAAGAAAGATATTGAGTTTAACAATTTGGATAGAAGCATGGTTATGGATAGAACATTATAGAGAAAATTGATCCAAGTAGCCGAATTCACTTAGTAGGGGAAATGCTTGGTTGTCATTGTTAGTTGTTGTTGAGGGTCATGATTGTTGGGTTGGTTGAAAATATACATGTTGAAGAAGTCCCACATCCCTTATTTTTATAAAGGAAGAGGGAGTCAAAGACTATATATATAATTGAAGTTTTTCCAAGTCTCATATCACTTAGTTTAGCTAATGAAGAGGAAGTTCAAGGCTATATATAGGATTAAAATTTTTATTTACAAGATGTCCCAGTCAAAAACACTTTATGCTTGTATTTGAATTTTTTATTTTCTCTTATACTCTTCTTTTAGAGTGTTGTGAGGGGTAGTTAAATATTTACTTTGGAGAGTGTAAGTGTATTGGGGCCTTGGAATATTTGAGGATAGTCTATGTGTTGTAACAACTTTCACATAGTGATATTCTATGGTTTTCATTTGACAAAGGTCGTGGTTTTTTCTCCGATTTTGGAGTTTCCACGTTAATCTCTTATATCGCTATTTTGTTCCTCTTTTTTATCTATTTTTTAATTTTTTTTCAACAAGTGGTATCAGAGCAATGTTTGGTGGGGTATCAATTTTAGTATGCTTTGGGTTGTAGTTTTGTAAAATCTTCCACATCAAAAAAGAAATTTTATACTCTGTGTTGGTTGGGAAAATTTTGGTTTGCTGCAGAAAAGGTTTTGGTTGCAATGTCAAGTTTTTCAAGTGCGGTGAATATTGATTTAGAGAAATTTGATGGAAGAATCAATTTTTCCTTATAGAAAATTCAAGTCCAATATGTTTTGATACAATTAGGATTGCACAAGGAGTTGAAAGGAAACATTTCCAAAATGGACAATGAGAAGTGGGAAGAACTAGATTTGAGAGCTTCGAGTATAATCGATATGTCTTTGGCTAAGAATATTCTTGCGAATATTCTTGGTATGCTGTCAACCAAAGAGCTTTGAGAGAAACTTGAAGGGATATATCAAGGAAAGGGTATATAAAATTGTTTATTATTGAAGGAGCAGTTTCATAGCTTGCGTATGGATGGACATTCAAAAGTATCTGATTATTTAAGTGTTCTAAATGGTATTGATTCTGAATTAGAAATTATTGGAGTCAAGATTGATGATGAAGATAAGGCTTTAAGACTCATATGGTCTCTTCCATCTTCCTATGAGCATATTAAACCGGTTTTGAAATATGGAAAGAAAACTTTGAGTTTTGAAGAAGTGGCTAATAAAATTATTTATGAAGAAAGAAGATTGAAAGGTGAGGATAATATTTTATCAAACTCAGTGTCGGTTGCTAGAGGAAGGCCTTATGTTAAGAAAAATAATGAAACAAGTGTGAGATGTTGGAAATATGGAAAGATTGAATATATAAAGTATAAGTGTCCTGATGGAGCAGCGTTAGAGAATGGCTTTAATTCAAATGCTAACAACGTCTCTCTTGCTGCGAGAGAGGATGATCTTATCTAAAAATTGAGACGTGTGTCCTAATGACATTCCCGTTGTCATGGAAAAGGACATGTTATTGCTAGCGGATTAACACATGGGCATTGATGCAAAGTGTGTTGTGAGATTATGTCGATGGTTGAAAAACTTCCAACCAACATGGAAGTTGCACCATAAAGTTTCAATCTGGTTTTTGGCATGTGAAAATTCTTGAAGTGGTTTACCTTCAAATGAAGTATATTCTTCTTTAGATAGAGTATGATAGTTTTAAAACTATAATTGTCGGTAAAGATAATATGAAAATTCTTAGAGTTGTGTAGCTTTAAGTGACTATACTATTTATGGTGGAGTATAATTGTCAGTGAAGACAATGAAAGTTAATTTTCAACATTGTTATTTTATTCCTCTTTTTCTCTATGTTTTAATTTTTCTCAATAATAACTATCAAATTTTCAAATTTAAAAATAATTTAAAATAATTATTTAAATCTTTTTTTATTAACATTAAAAATAAGAATATTATAGTATTTTAGACCGGACAAATCTCTACATGACAGTGAATATGTTTGTCGTATCCTTCCTATTAGCGAATGAAAATTAATTTTTTAAGTATATATTATTATAATATTAATAATTAATATAATATAATAAGTGAACTAACAATTCGCAGGGGAACAAGTATGTATGATGTCGCGGGAAACAACCGAAAATGGAATTGCTCAATGAAATAGAAGTTGAAACCCATATTTGAATTAATTAAAAAATGAGAAAAGGTGATAATCTAAATCTAATGGATATGGTGGGCACAAATAAGATTCTATAAAAGCAACATTTTAATTTTCTCGATTAAACAACACATTGATGTGGTATAGTGGCACTGGAATTACAACATTATGGTGGCAATTTGACCACACAATTATCAAACTATTATGACCTAACAAAGTCCACCTTATCTTCCCATGTCATATCCTTCTCGTACCAATCCACCTCATTCTAAAGAAAATAATGGATAAAACATATAATCCTTTTTTATATAAATATATTGTTGTTTTTGGATTTTAAAATATTTGCCACCAAAGAAATTATTAGGTTGAGTCGCGGATTAAGTCGCTCTCTTTAAGACGTTTCGCGACACTGCTCAAAATTATGCAAAGAAGTCGAACTACCGTGCCACCTCCAGGATAAAACAACTCAGTTCTACTGTACGATTACTACTTGCATGATAGATAATCGGTCTAGAAATATACCCTCTAATGGTACAAGACTATTCAAATATGGTATCAACACCACTCGTAGTATCTGGTACAAAGAACAGTCATAATAATTTCTCAAACAAAAAGAAACTCAAATAGTTCTCCAAAGAGAAATTAATAATGGTTATTTGACCACTCATAATAATTTCTCCAACAAAGAGAAATTGAATTAATTCTCCAAAGAGAATCCAAAAGATTAAACTTGAAAATTTCTCAACTCAAATGAGGAGAAATTAACATAATTCTCTAAAGAGAATTCAAGAAAATACTCGGAAAATTCAACGAGTAGGAAGAAAGGGGAAGAAGATGGCGCTTCAACAATTCGAGAGACGCAGAGTTATGAGAATGAAGAAGAAAAAACTAATAGAATAGTTTTTGGTGTAATTTGAAATGAAACATGTGCACTCCTTATATAGTGAAGTAAGATAGTTAATATTTCTCACATGAGCAATGTGGGACTAAATGGTTTTTTCAACCAAAAAAATATTCTAACAATGTGGGACTTGAGAAATTTAAATTCAACATATTGAAACATGGACATATTCCAACAATCCCCCACTTGAATTTAAAAAATTGATTTTAGAAGTAACGTCAAACGTTTTTAATATTGTGCATAAACAAAGGTGTCTACGACTTGAACCTTTGCATAGCAAGTAGGATTCTAATTCAACAAGAGTGACACAAATATCTTGAACTTTATCTCAGACATCAAACCCGCACATAACCTTTTCTTAAGGTGTATTCTAATAGCCCGTGCTTTAATGGCCCTGCACGTGTATCCCAGTTTAATGAAGGCTCTAGGAATTCTGCCTCGAAATTCCATAGGAACCGGCCAAAGTTCCACAATCACATAGGTGAGTCTATCAAGAGTACTTCTGTAGCCTAGGTACTCCCTCATACAGAGTATAGATCTCATTAAGAGTTTCTATTATCTCATCCTCTTATTACTTCAGGATTCATGCTTTACTTGCATGATCATCTCATATTACTCATAACTTGTTATTACCCATTGAACCTATTTCTTGGGATCTCCAGTCATTTAGGTCGGGTTACCATCATGAGCAACTCATTTTCCTATAGGCATTAGTCTCATCTTATATGATGTATTATAGACTTTCTCTCTAGTTAATCCTTTCGTCAAAGGATCTGCTAAATTTTCATCAGTGCGTACATGATCCACTCTTACAACTCCTTTAGAGATACAATCTCTAACAGTGTT